TCAGAAAAGGTTGCTTTCAAATAAAAAAATGCAGGTTTGGTGATGTGACTGCCTCACAACTAGGCAGTAAACCATGCATTTTGAAATACTTGAATCTGTATTTCAAATTCCCTAATTCATTTCCCATCTAGATACTTACTTCCTCCCTCTGGTGAAAAAGCAAAAAAATCCCAGTCGGGGTGGGACAGTCCAGGTTAAAGGGGAAACAAAACATGCCTGGTTATATCTCAGAACAACAATAACAATGAAATAAGTGTGTTAAACAATTGATGAAAAAAAGTCATCCATAGTGGCTCGTGGAGCAGGTGAGGTCTCCTGGAAAACTGCATAATACTCCTATCGCCATAGCTAAATATCACTTTTAGTAAACTGAATTATTGGTTCAATCATTTCTCACTCAACTTTGTCTGTGGCTGATCAATAGGTCTTAAAATCAGTCATATTTTACCGCATTAATTGTTGCAAAATAATTTGCAACAAGTATTTTTAATTGAAAAGTTGTACTAATGAATACAACTTAATTCTATTAGCTGTGAAGTCAAACCTGTCTGCAGGTGGTCAGGCTTCAGCACTTCATCTTTTCACCTTTTGAAAGACTCTTGCATAATGTAACTGGCCGGTTGCCCTGTGCCTGGTGAAGGCAGGCCTAAAATTAGCAACTATTACTGCAGCATTCAAAATAGTATTAATGACAGAGATTTTCTGTGGTGGGCATGTACTACAAGAAGGATCACAATGAAAGTACAAACCTAGAAAAATTATCTGGATGGCAAACACAATCTCTGTGAACATGATGACAAATAGCATTCATCGTATTTCCTTTCCTGCTATTTTCACTGTTGATAGTAAACCACAGGTGCATTACCAAAAGCTGATACACACCCCTGTAGTACAATACCAACGACTATATACCGCATGCTTAAAATAGATCTTATAGATATAGAATTGTATTAAATGAATTGTGCATATTAACGTTAGTTAGCTAGTGTTATGCAGACACAGATCACTATCTCACGCTGGACATATGTGCATTTTTAACCCCAGTGAAGCTGCCATTAAAGCTGTCACTGCCACCCATAAGGAAGATACCCCTGGAATGGCACTGCTAAACAAATGTGGATTTATTGCCTAAACAGTTGTTTATACTACATGCTGCACAGAAAAGTGTGACCAGTGTAATATAAAATCAGCACATCACTTCATCTCAGTCAGGAAGTAGGGGGACATCTTTGTCACCCTTCTGTCTTCTACTGGTTAAGAAATTCCATGAAATGATAGCACCACTGGTGAAGACTTTGTTCATTTCTTTAAAAAATCTCCAAACCTCCCCTCTGTTAGTGTAGTATATATGAAGTCCCTGTTTCATTTTGCCCAAACTGACCTGGAACCAAAACTTTCGGCATGGTGATGGTCTTCAGTTAAACTATCCTGAGGACTGGTAGCGGGTGGTCAGGCACTGGACCACTGTAGTTGGGAAGTGTGGAGCCCCGCGCTTGCTCTGGGCAATATTAAGCACCCTCTGCTCAACTGTAACCAGAACCCGCTGTGGCCACATGAAACATGCCTTGATGTAATGTGGAACTCATATGTGTCTAGATCTATTTTAAGTCATCTGTGTGCATACAGGACCCCCCCGGCTGGCATAGTGTTTTGACAAACTGACAGGTATTTGCATACATGGGGACTCATCTTATGAAACACCATGATAGCTGCATGAGTTGCTGTGAACATGGTAGGTGGTACATAAGATGGGCTGACTTATAAACCACTTCTTGGCATAAATTATAATTAGCGAGGAAGTAGAAGAAGGAAATTAGAAGGAAGCTCACATCCACATTGCCCTGTCTGCACTGTTAGTGTTCCATCATTAGGTGGTAGAGACAATAACATTCAACTTCACAACAAGGTGCTTCCTAGCACAACATCATGGCTGTGCAGATGACAGTCAGCTCTTGTCTCTGGATTTTACATCTCTATCCTGTTGCTGAAGGATCCCATGCATTTGTCAGATTCTGTGTGGACTTCTGTAATAGCGTCCTATTGAAATAATAAGCCACAAGTAAAGTCAAGGACAGGCTGTGAAGTGCTCAAAACTCGCTATATCCTGGCAAGAGATCACTCCTACTCTCGGCACTCTACATAGCTCCCAAAGTCCTGCCTTAAATTCAGTCATTCTTCTCACTTACAAGTCCCTTCACACTCCTGCCCCTCAGTACTTCTCTGATTTCCATCACTTCTAAATCCCTTCCCATAATCTTCGATCCCCAGTCACTGCTGGACAGGTGTTCATTCTGCTCACCGGTTGGCAGACTCTGAGGGACATAGCTATCTGAAGTCTCCCCCTCCATTCAGAGATGCTGAAACCCTAATACAACCTAGCATTTGGTCTAACCCACAAATTCTTCCTCATTTGATTTCAAAAGTACTTTACACAAGCAACATTTTAAAGCTTTTAAAGCTATAAGGGCTGGACCAGTATTACTGAAATGCTTTTTAAATGAGAAAATGTGACATTGCTTAAAGAAACACAACACTTCACATCCAATTCAACTATTCAAATATTTCTCAGCAAAATCACCTTAGAGTCACGTGAAAAAGAACAAGCTAACCTCACTGAATGATTACCACCTTTAGCAGCAATAACGTGAGGTAACGCATCGCTATCTTAAGGTCCTGCCCCAGCATTTTGATCAGATTGAAGCCTGTACTTGGACAGAGTATTGCATGGTATCACCTTTTAGGCATACCTTACGGGTGTACTTATTTTTCACAGGACTGCATATACATGTTTTAACCTGTACACAATAATATGCGTTTAAGTAATCATATACAACCAAGCCTATTTTCTGAGCTAAAACTCATACAGATTTGGGTGTGCAGCTTCCAGTTGCTTTTGGCTTTCAAAAGAACGTGCTTTGAGCAGGAAACACATGAAAAACAGGCACAGCAGGTAACGGTTAAGATTTGCTAGGAGGCACTGGGTTTATGCAGCTTACTGTGGATTAAAAATGTCAAAATAAAATAACAAAAAAAGTTTAACTGGGAGAAAAGCCTGGGGCCTCATTGTAATTCATGAAATGAAAATATTCCAGTGCTTCCTTGGGATAAATTCTTTCAGTTGTCATTGCTGTTGAAGTTTTCTAATGTAGTTTTACTGCTTTATCAAAAATTAAATTCCATTTAACTCTAAAGCTTTTGACAGAATCAGACAAAATAAAAATGAATCTATCTGGAGGGCTAAATACTGCAGAATAGCAGGATATATTATGAAAATATATGAAGTTGATTTGTGTTGCACACGCTCCCATTTCCCGATGTCTGTGCAGCTGGAAGACACAAACCAACAAGCCATCTATTTTTAGGGAATGTGATTCTAAATGTCAAGGTTCCTCTTACTAGTTAAAGAGATCAAGTTAGACGTGGGCAGTCAGTCAGTTCAGACTTTGGGAATTAAAATGCCAGAATGGGAATGTTTAAATTATTAAAGGTGAATTAAGGATTTTTTTAAAAATCATTTAAAATAGGGCACAAATTTCACAAAAATACCTTTCAAGTATTTAAACTTCACAATCTTGTTTTACATTTCCTTGTAATTGTAACGACAGGTTTTTTCTACTATTAACTTAAACAGAAGAGATCTGTTTAATCCTCTCAAACTTTAGCTGGTGTGCCCAATTTGCACAAAAATGCTAACTAAAGTGTTACAGCTACATGCCTCAGTAGGAAAAATCAGTGCTTCCTGCTCAAATGCCACAAGGAACAGAGTGTATCGATCTGCCACGTGAGAGTGAACTTCAAGGATAAACAGCTAAAATGACTGATTCAAGAATTTCGTCTTTCCAGAGAGATCTACACTCTTCAATATGAACCTGAGAGGTTATTGGCGGCTGTAGCCTAAATGTGATTTAGACAGGCAGGAGGGAGCAGAGTGTCCAAGTTTGTCCATCTCATATTACTCCTATCATCATCATCCAAACTGCCAGACACTACCAAATAACAACAGGTGTCACAGTGTCTGGCTCCCGCTCTACAGGCGTTCTTTGGATCTGGCCATGCAGCAGTTTCCTGTGATTTCCACATTTCCCCTTAGTTTTGGGGATATATTGTAGGAGATTTTAAGAAACACCAAAGCACGAGTGTAAACTGTAAATGTAGCACACAAACAACTGAGTGATTCCTATGGATAAATAGTCCAAATTGGTGTTACATGATGTTTGGGATTGAACATTCCTAAGTGCAATGTTAACACAGTTCTACCTATAGTTCCTCTAAATGAATAAAGTCTTCCCAGCCTCTACAGGATGTTCATCTGCTCCTCTGAAAGCTGCAGGGAGACTTCTGCATAAATAAAGGCCACTGAGTCTAAATGTACCAAGAACAAGATTAAACTTGTTCTTCTAAAAAAAAAAAAGGTTCTGGTGCACAAGAAAGAGTCTGCTCTTTGCTCACATGTGCTGGTGGAGGGCTGCAGTATGTTGTGTTTGGATTGTAATCACACTTCCTGCTTGAAAGATAAAGAGGAACACCCAGAGCTAACATCTACCGCTGGTGAAAACACACATCTGGATTCATGTTTGGATTTGTCCTAAAACATGGTGGGACTTTCATCTAGTCTGTAATTATGAATACACAAGATCAATTTTAAATAATAAATAATAAAAGCAAATGCCAATACTGAATGCATGCACAATACAACACAGCATATAGTCGAGACGCGAAGTCTAGAAATATGTGTTTCATTTCATTTTAATGTTGCCCGGGGCAACGTGTCAAGGTTTATATCGCTAAACATTTAGTAATATAGATCTGGTTTTTCTGTGTTTTCCTTTTTTAGTGGAAAGATGCAAGAAGGGTGGGATCAGAAAGTTTCCCCCAGTGATGTGTTCAGGAATTTTAATTGGTCTTAATTGCTGTACTATTCCTCCCCACCAGAACATTCACTTCCCCAGAACAAACGTGTGCGAGCATCTGTGCTGCAGACAGGACAAAGAGGTAAGTCTCTACAAGATTTTGCCATGGATTTTCTGTAGCAAGTGCCCCTTTTCTGTTATTATTTATTTACTTATTTAATTACCAGAATATTCCAGTTATGCAGACGATCTTAGTTAGAAAGGGTCTCGAAAGACTTTCTTAGGTGGATCAGTTGCTTGTTTTGACACCACATTTAGTCTATATAATAATAATTCTTATTATTTTTAAGATGTTTCCTATTACACGACCTCCTAAGCCCTCCAAATCCTAGCAAGACTTTATAAAGTCCATGTCAGCTGACTCTACTAAACTGACTTCTACCCCATGACCTTCTACTACCAATAAATGAATCACTTAAGCTGAAACTTTAGTAGCCCACCCCTGTGCACTGGGTTTATTCTTAATCAGTGTAACTCACTGCATGCAGCCTACTTCAAAATGTTATAGACTCTAACATACATGCAATAAGAGACACGTTTTGCTACTACCTCGAATTAACTTTCTGGGACTCATATTCCCAAGGCAGTTTCTGATATAATACAGATTTGAGCCACACCATCTCTCCATAGAGACATCTGTGACTGACCTGAGCCTGACATACCAGTGTAAATGCCTTCAACTCCTTAACTGCACGCAGAAGCCTTTTCCTGTAATGAGAATCCTCTTCCTGGATATCTGAAGTCCTTTTTTTTTTTAAGATAGAAAGGAAAAGAAAAATCAGAACTATCTTTGATGGATTCCATCCTTAGTAGCAAATGTTGATCAGCTATTTCTGAATGACCGCCAGCGAGTAGACCATGACAGTAGAGATTGAGTTGTTTGGGCCACTGTGCTTTTCTGCCTGATCATCAGCCAGATAAGTGTGCATAGATACAGGTGTAACGTACATGTTTTGGGGTTTGTGGCCCTGTGTTATGGTTTGGGATTCTAAATAGCACTGAAACAACTGACATTGTGGGAATGTGCTAATACTGATCCATGTGCTATTCCACACCCCTCGCCCCCATCATCTTTCTTATTTTGCTCTTTCTGCTATCCTGAAAGAAAAGGCATAAAAGAAAGGTATCTACACTGTTTGCCATTTTATTCACCGTGGTGCGTAACTCTGCTATTTTGTCACGCTCTCCAAAGCCCTGAGGCTTGACTTACACATGATGGGCAGACAGATTACAGTGAATGTTAATGAGGGTTATTTAGCTGTCTCCACCACTTCCCCTAACACAGACAACAGGATACTCTGGTCAGTGTGCCACACGCTTTTAATCTCTTCTCTTTTTTTTGGGTGGGCAGATCCAAGACTGGACAGAATGGAAGTGAAGGTTTTTGTGGATGGTATCCCACGGGTGGTATGTGGAGTAACAAGGGAAACGACATGCCAAGAAGTGGTCCTAGTGCTGGCTCAAGCATTGGGTGCGTACACAGCATGCTGGACATTTTCTACTTGGTGATAAAGGTTACTTTGATATGCTGACGAATCCTCATTCTTTGCTTGTTCTTTAGGTCAACCCGGGCGTTACACGTTACGGGAGAAATTTAAAGACTTTGAGCGGTGCATGACACCCGAGGAACGTCTTCTGGAGACCCTGGAGAGGTACGGTGAGCAGTCCAAGGAGGTCCAGCTCAGTCTATTCCACAGAGGAGCATCTGTTTTGGATGAAATGGGCAAAGCAAAAGTAGGACGATATCAACCCTGTCCGCCATTAAGGAAGAAAGATGTAGGTTCCAGAATGAGGAGGAGTAGTGGCTCCCTGAGCCTGCATCGCCAAAGCTTGCCAATGTTATCCTGCTTAAGGGAAGAAGGTGAGAAGAAGCAAGAAGACCTGAAAAGGCCAAAAAGAAAGTCTCTGACACTCATGGAGGAGGCCTGGGACTGGCTGGAAAGTCTGGGGAAAGGAAAGGTCTATAGCACTGCCCATGATAAGGAAAGCAGTAAGTTGGATAAAAGGAACCGCATCTCTTTGGATTTCTCACTCACTGTGGAAAAAGATAACTCTGGTAGCATTAGCAGAGGCAAAGGGAAAGGTCAAAAAGCTTTGAAGTCAGAACTGGACCATCAAACCTCCTGCTGCATAGGTAATCAGACAAGGGGTAAAGAAAGCAAACACTCTAAAAAAACAAATGAGGCAAAATCCAACCTGTGTGGTTCAACTGCTGCCAGGACCGTGGAGGAGAAAAATACTCTCAGAGAAACCATAATATGTCAGCTCAAGTCCTTGCAGGACCTACAGGCCCAGATAACACGTATAGACAGGCAGATTTTTGACCTTGAGGAACGTCAAAGGGCCAGAATCGCTGAACAGGAAGCACAAGAGATGATAGTGGAAGAAGAGATGGAGCAGATCAGGTTTTGGGAAAACGAGTTACAATCAGAGGAAGGTTACGAGAAGGATTTGCAGTATCAGTTCCTCGAGATGAGAGCGAAGGCCGTGGAGTGCAAGACTAAACTGGAGGAGTACAAGTGTAAAATGCTTGATTTTTTCAGAGGTGCCGCTCAAGAAGATTCTGAGACTGCTTCAAAACTCAACTCAAATTGTGCCAGTGAAATTCACGCCGTCTCGGCCCAGGATGACAATCTGGAGCAATCCAGTGCAGATGGGAGTGTAAATGTCAACAGGAAGTTCTTGCCCAGAGAAGACACCAGCCATCCTCGCGCTCTAGTTCATCCAAACCAAATAAAGGAGCGACGGCCCACTGGACCCACTGAGCTAAGGGAGTGGTGGACACGCTGGTCAGAAGCCCATAGATCTCAATCGCAGACTCAGAAGGTGATTCACCGTTCTGAGCTCACTATATATTTGAGCAGCACCAAGGTTTAGAATCAATGTCCTGGCGTTAAAAGACAATGATCCTTCACACTTTCCATTCCAAATTTATTACCAGTGCTTACTGCATGTTCTGGGCTGGGATAAAGCCCTTCAGCAAGTATTGAACTTTAATTGTTCCTCAGCTTATTTACCTTCAGTGGGTCCAAAATAATTAAACAGATCATTAAAAACTATTGTAAGAGAAAGGAGGAGCTGAAATTAAAAAGGAAGAGACCAGTTTAGTTTTATTTCACATTTGACTTCCTCTGTATTTTAGCACATCTGAAGTGTTTTTCATACTTAAACCTGCTCTGGTGCACCAATGAATAATTATACTGACTTCATAATATTCAAGCAAGCCAAACTGAAGACTGATTTGACATGTAGGACTAGACTGAAAGCTTTCTCTATGAATTTATCCTCACCATCAGCTGTCAGTGTACCCACACTGATTGACAATGCTGCTTTTGTTGCAACTGCTGTTTAACACCAGAATGCACATACCTTGTTGCTTCTTGCCCTCAAGACAGTCTTAATATTGTAGTTGGACTGTCCTACCAGCATCTTAAAATCTATACAGACACAACATTTACAGACTCAAATTTTGTGAAAAACATGGTTTTGTGGATCTTTGGTCATTCTTACTGGCAGATATGGAAAATTGCAGTGATCAATTTATTTTCCACTCACTACAGGGAACGTAGCACCACAAATACATCGATGTCTTATTTCTCTCTCATTTGTAGCTGTGTTGGTGTGACATCTTGACCATTTTTTTCCCCCTCACATTTAAACCTGACTTCCCTCTTCATCAAATGCAACCATTCTGAGATTTTACAGACATCACCAGGCTACAACAGCTGATAGTGGAATCAAAGACAACACTGAATATAAAACATGTTTTATCAAATGTAGTTTTATTAACTGATTACTTATGCATGTCTTTCTCACAACTAGCCAATGTCAGACAAACTGCTCTATATAATAAAATGAACTTCACAAGCATTTATTTTGCTTTCAAGTTGTTTTATTCAGTCTCAAAGAACACCTACAGGCTTCCTCTGAAAAGAAAACAGAACAGCTCGTGAATTTCATAAAATTTTAATTCAATTGTCTCATTCAAGAACATTAACAAAAGTACATGAGAACCTCTGTACGCGGTTCAACTGAAACCCGGTGATCTCCAGAGAAATTAATTTTGACTGTAACTTAATGTGCAGAGGCACAACAGCTCATCTCCAGAGTGCACAAGCTGATCTCCTGATTTCTAATGTAGTTTTTCTTAAAAACTGAATTTCTAATACTTCACCCCTTTTCCTTTAAGTTACATTGGTTGTGTTATATTTTTGAAGTTTCCAAATTCCACTTAAAAAAAAAAAAAAAAAAAAGCACACATTACGTATAGTATACGTCAACCCACAGGTTTGGGATGCATATCAGTATTTTTCCTACTTTAAGAGAAAGCCACCCTAAGATTGTTCTGAATATTTTGGCGGTTGGCTGGGATCAGAGGACACATCTAAATTTTTATTTTTTTATTTCACTTTTAGCTTCTCAGTTTTTAGGCACCTTATTCTTAATATTAGCAGATTAAGTTTCGATGGAGAAAAAAAACAAAACAAAACAAAAAAAACCCAAGAAAATTATGTGAAGAAACAAAAAAAACAAGATGGGGGGGAAAAAAAAAAAAAAAAAAAAAAAAAAAAGTATAAAAGAACTGCAGATATAAGATGCCACAAGGAATTCTGCACCTGGGAGGGGAGAGGGAAAAGAGGAAGAAAAAGAATGCTGAAGTGGAGCATGTGAATACCAAAAAGGCATCAAAACTCCAGACTGGTGGAATTAAATCCCATTAGATTAACTACTTTGACATTCACATATATCACACGCGCCATGCTTCCACTTCAATAAAGCATTAAAAACTGCTCAAAAAAAACGAGCAGAGAGGAATCCTCGGTTTAAGCTTGCACATATGAGAAATATGATCCTCCTTATGGAGGGAGCTTTGCTTTATGCGTTTTGTAGGAAAGCATACAGGAGTGGAAACCTGATAGCGAAGTTATTACGTTTCCATCGGTAAGGGAGCAAAAACTAAGAACGAATATGGAGCTGAGGTTCAAACACATGCCAACAGTCACTCGCCCAGTCAAACTAGCGGACAGATTACAGGTGCAGAATTCCAGACAAAGAACAAAATCAGGACGTAGACAGCCACACAGTCACCACTCTGACTTGGAGGGAACAAGCCCCTTAGAAACAAATACCTCCATTACACACTAATCAATTCTAGGATACATCATACGCACACACTCAGAGGTCCCCATGTACACTGCAGCGTGGAACTCTGTATCAAGTACATCATACATGGGAGGCAGGGAACTGTGGAATAAGAAAAGTTCCACTGCAGACTGGGGACAAAGATTACACATGCCAATTACTGTATGTGTGCGTATGTTTTGCGGATGAGTTTGTGTACAAGCATGTGTCAAATTAAATTCCCTTATCCCCTGCTGCTGCTCTCGGCGACAGCGTCCCTCCAACACCAAATGGGGGTAGGCCCTGTATTGCTCAGTCAATGACACCAGGCTGGCGAGTCTTCCGCTCCACATTGAAGCCCTGTAAAGACAGAATAAGTTTAAGGAAGGAAACTATCAAACCCCTGAAATGCTCGCCAAGTGTCTTTTTTAGTCACTGTAGCAAATGATTTCATTCTACTTCATTCTGATCAGTAACATGGATGGCTCCAAATTCATTTTAGCCAAAGTCATTTCTAAAAAGACTATACAAACTTACAGGTTAGCACAATTCAAATGTGGCACCATCTGATAATCTCATCATACCTTTGAATTGTCAGGACCACGAGGCTGCCTTACAATGACCAGGCGAGGAGCACTGGCATCATCAAGCGTGATACTCTTCAGTCTGTTCACCAGGCGGTCAGGACGTGGAGTCGCCACTGGTTTAGGCCCCTCACTGCAAGAGGAACACAATGAACAAACAATGTGAAGGCCCACTGGTTTAAACATACCAGCCACAGTCCAGTTCTAAATTTAAAGATCAAGTTCTTACCTGACTCTGCGTACATTGCAGGCACTACATTTTCCTGTGCGTTGATTGAGGACAACTGAGAACTCCACTTCATCCCCAGTCTGAAGCTCCAGACCATCTTGCACTTCTTTTACATGGAAGAATAACTTCTTGCTATCACCAACTTCGTATGTGATAAAGCCAAACTGGAGGGGGGCGGGAATTAATCACAATTTTGAGTTTTAAAGTATGACGTCCACCTACTACCCAGTGTGTTTTTTGTTGTTGTTTTTTTAATTATGCAATTGAGGAGAGGAAAAAACAAAAACTGAACACTACCTGGTCTTTAACACACTCCACCATGGCTCTACGCTGCGGAACCACATTACAGGCCATCTTCTGTCCAGTCTGGGTTATTGTGCAAACCTGGAACTTCACCTGTTCTCCTTTTTGCAAACAATCAGACTTGTTTGCCATACTCATGATTCCAAATGGATAATTCTGCACTTTTGATCCGCCTGAAAATTAAAGGAGGAGGAATCAATTTTACTTTCTACAAATAAACTGTTTTACATGTGTAGTCATAATGGGATACCAACCTTCCTCTGAGAACTCAACAAGTCCTTGGTATTCAGTCTGGGAGGGGTCAACACTACGTATAGGACGGATAACTTTCCCTGTCATCACTGTCCCACCAACATCTTCACCAATTCCATTCACTATGATGGGAAAGCAGTGGATTTTATTTGCAATCATTCCTACCTACAAAATGTCAAACATTACAAATGTACCAAAAACAACTGGAAGTGAATCACTGATACCTGCAGCAACCTTGGTGACCTTTTCAGCACTGACTTTGTTTCCTTTTCCCTTTGAGAGATTGTATTCCACTGTGTCTCCCAGATCCAAGTTATCCAAGTCTCCGCACATTTCACTAAAAACAAAAGCACAAGTCTGAGAATTTGATACTAAAGCGAGTTATCTGCATGGCATTAATAAATGAATACTCTAACCCAGAGGTGTGTTCAAACTTAAATCATTACCTGTAGTGAAAGAACACTTCCTGGTCATGATTTGCTGTCTCAATGAAACCAAAGTTATCTTTCAGTGCAGCAACAAATCCATGCAGTCTCTTGGCACCAGAGGCATTACGGTTGAGGACCCGGATGGAGACGGCACTCTGTTGGCCAGTTCGCTTCACTTCATTGATTGAGAACTCCACCTAGAGGACAAACACACAAGTTGCATGGGGAGAGAAAAAAAAAAAAAAAAAAAAAAAAAAAAAAGCTTCAAGCTTTCAACAACTAAACTTCAAACCTTCAAAAGATGAATTGTAGCATCAACTGTTTGCTGGACTAATTAGGCTAAATGCATAGTGGAAACCATATTTGCGCTCAAGCAAAATAAAGTGTTACTACCTTGTCCCCAACCTGTGGGTGACTTCCTCCCTCTAGGTCCTTGGCATGGTATGGCACAGTGAGCTTCACTCCACAGTCTTCATATGCAATCACTCCCTCCTCAGACTCCTACAATAAAAGCAACACATCAAACTTGGATCATCTTTCCAATTAAGACAACGGTCCCCAACCTTTTTTGCGCCACGGACCGGTTTATGCCCGACAATATTTTCACGGACCGGCCTTTAAGGTGTCGCAGATAAATACAACAAAATAAAACTAGTACCGGTACCGATAAAAAGATTTATTCATAACACACGTGAAAAGACCCAGGAAAACCGAGTTAACGATAACAAAATAACGCTGAAAACCGATAAAAACCCTGAAAATCTTACATTTCACACCTGAGCCTCAACTCTCACAGCCCGGTACCAAACGACTCATGGACCAGTACCGGTCCGAGGCCCAGGGGTTGGGGACCACTGAATTAAGACTAGCAGTGCTGGCCAAATGTCTCCGCAATGCTACAGTTGAACAAAATGAGCATAAGCTAGCAATGTCACCAATTTAAAAGAGAAGTCATTTATGACTAGTGTATTAGAAAATTCTGTGCACACAGCCTACATAAGCATTAAAGATAAATGTGTGCAATGCATCATGCTGTAGCAGCCTAGTTAGTACACACCTAATCTACTACAAGCAGTGTCGAGCTTTACCCTACAATTTAGGGCTGCATAATTATTCACCGCTCTAGTTTATAATAAAAAAACTAAACACTGTTACTTGACTGAAAATGGCTCTTAATCCATCGTTTGCCATTTCAGTTGCTGTACATCGTTTTGAATGCAAAACCAATAGCGCTTAATTGAACTGTTAAAACAAAATCAAAAATCTGGGCGCAGTTTACAATTATTAGGAAGAACCAAAAACTCGCTGTTTTAATAGGATACTGTGTTCGTGAACACCACACACATTTTAAATACAACAGGCTGACAACCACTAAAAGGAGGAGAACCCCCCCCCCCCCCCCCAAAAAAAAACAAAAAAACAAAACAAAACACTAGCATCCTGATTACTTTTGTGCAGCCCTACAACAAAGTGAAGCTTCAATTCCAGATTCCATGGGTTAAATGATGATCAAACCTCACACTGTAAATTAATGAGGTGAAGGACACCAGAGGGTTAGAGGTTAACAAAGACTAACCTTTTCTACAACTTTACCCTTTAAAAGCAAGAGAAAGATTTATCAGACAGCAAGTCTCGGCACCACAACACTTCACTTGATCATTTGGATTTCTAGACTTCACGTGATGAAAAGCTTCTTTAGATTATGTGTTAGTAAAACAAATTGCGACACCGATAGTTTGTACAACTGGAGTGTCTTTAACTGTGATGCACTTTCATGTAGCTTCATGCAGAAGGTCTCAGTCCTACCTTATCTTTTTTCTAACCAACAAGGAGCATGAACAGGAAGTCATTGAAGGAGGAAAGCAAAGAGGAACATTAGAACTAAAACAGTGTGAAAATACAGATAGATGAGGGGAAATGGGCTGTGTCATAAATGGGGATGATTTAAGTTATAAGCGGTGTTACCTTCTCCTTGCCCTTGGTGGGACTGATGTTCTTGGCGGTGTTTCCAACAACTTCCTTTTCCACTACACCCACAAAACGTTGCTCAGACTGGATATGGAAAGACACTGTGCCTTTTGGAAGCTTCTTAATGCGCACTGCATGGTTTCTCTGAGCTGACAGCATATCCTGGCAGGGATGACATTTATATTAGTATTTTTACTTAAAAGTAACTTGAATGTGCCTGCTTAGGTAATAGAAAATACATACTTTTTTGAAAAG